TTGATACCAAAGTTGATTAGACGAGTCAGTCGAGGGTGTAGACGGAACCGTGAACTCGAAATTTCTCTTTATTTATTTTATTTTATTTTTATTTTCTAGTTTATATTTTATTTGCTTCATTAGGATTTTAGTTATTTTAGTTATTAAATCCAATCCCCCCCATATTTAATTGCTTTTATAATTCAATTAATACGAAAAAATTCATAATTTGATTCACACTCTCTGTGGGATCGACCCTTGCTCGCCACTACTACCAGTTAGTAGAAGTTAGTCAAGGAAAAATATATATTTTAATTTTACTGCGTTGCGACGCGTGGTCAATGGTTCTATTTGATTTGGTTTTGTGGTATTTGTGTTTTTTTATCTCAGTGGCAGATCGATGAAGCTCATTACGGATAGCTCGAGCAGGTTAATGGTTCTATTTGATTTGGTTTTGTGGTATTTGTGTCTTTAACCTCAGTGGCAGGTCGATGGAGCTCATCACGGATAGCTCGAGCAGGTTAATGGTTCTATTTTATTTGGTTTTGTGGTATTTTTGTCTTTGACCTCAGTGGCAGGTCGATGGAGCCTATTACGGATAGCTCGAGTAGGTTAATAGATTTATTTAATTTGGTTTTGTGGATTTTGTGCTTTCGACCTCAGTGGCGGGTCGAGTATATTCATTATGGCTCGAGCAAGTTGATTGCATTTTATTTGATTATGGTTCTGTCGAATTGATTTTTCGACTTCAAGGGCAGGTAGATGAGATTCATTACGGTACGAGCAAGTTGATGGTTTTTGATTGGTTTGGTCTCGTCGAATTTATTTTTCAACTTCAGTGGTGGGTCGAGTATATTCATTATGGCTTGAGCAAGATGATTGCGTTTTATTTGATTATGGTTCTGTCGAATTGATTTTTCGACTTCAAGGGCAGGTAGATGGGATTCACTATTGTACGAGCAGGTTGATGGTTTTTGATTGGTTTGGTCTCGTCGAATTTATTTTTCGACCTCAGTGGCAAATCGAGTATATTCATTATGGCTCGAGCAAGGTGATTGCATTTTATTTGATTATGGTTTTGTCGAATTGATTTTCGACTTCGAAGGCAAGTAGATGGAATTCATTACAGCACGAGCAGGTTGATGGTTTTTAATTGGTTTGGTCTCGTCGAATTTATTTTTCGACCTCAGTGGTAGGTCGAGGGAGTTCATTCAGAGTAGTTCACGAAATCAGGTCATTTGGGTTTTGAGAGGATATACACCAGGATTGAATTTTAAATTTTGAACTGAGGGGCGATAGGACGGGGTGGTCTAAAAGAGCTCGAACAGGATGATCGAAACACAACAGGCATAAGTTCAAATTTTCAAATTCAAGACTGATCGCAAAATATTTTTACTACCCGCAAGCGTACGGTGTAGCTGTAGAAAGCGGCGAGCAAGGTCGTATTCCACAGAGACTGTTGTTAAGTTAATTAAGTACCAAAATATAGACGATTAAATATTATCTAGACTAATGCAAATTCGATTGGAGTTTTTATTCTAATCTAATGAATGCATGCAAAAATAAATTCTAACACTAATGAAGGCTTGTTCTAAATAAATCAAGAATGAGAAAATAGATTCTAGGCTATGCTTTCCTCGGGATTATTCTAGCGGAGTTTTCCTATTCATTCAAACCTTATTTAATTCTACCAATCGTAGGGATAATCGCTAAAGTAAT